GCTGGCCCATCTCAGACCCCGAATGTTTTGCTTGATATTCCCGATGGCCCCCACTGATGGCAGAAAGCACTTTGCTGTGTTTTGTATGAAATGGCATCACGGCCAATGGCTCTGCACTAATAGTCATCGCAATGCTTACGGCCATTGTCGGGGGCCTCTACAGAAGACCAATGATAGCGCCTATTATGGTAATTGATTATGAGTAAACCCAAGGGGTTGGTTTCAATGAACTGCTACGAAAAAAAACAATTGCCACGAAAAAGCAGCATATCAGCCAAAATGTAATCCACCACACATTTCTTGCGACTGGATCTCAGTCCACTTCTGCTCAGCACATGAATTTCCAGAGCAATGTTTCACACTTAGCAGCTCAGTGAAATTGGGCCCCGTGCGGGATAAATCATGGTTCGGGCAAGACGCAGACAATGGCCCCCTCACCTCTCGCTCCTTGAGGTAGTTAAAGATGTCCTGCGCGTAGACCGGCGACTGGTTGGGATCATCCTTGTTCTCTTCATCGATGTCCTTGAAGTCTAGCGATTCTTCCAAACTGATCGCCGCAACCTAATCCAAAGGAACACACAATCACAACTCTAACAAGGACTGAAACGCACAGACTGTGCCTCGCAGGGAAACATTGTCACAAATCTGCTCATGCAAACTTGCGTAAGTATTATACGCTCCGACAGTCCTCTCATGTCTATGTGAACAAACAACAAATAAACTCAGCAATGCAGATTTGACAGCTAAAACATCTTCATACTCTTTTGTATCTAAGGGTACAAAAGTCTGACTTCTTTACAATACGGTATGGCTCGCTTTCAACATCGCTGGAACGCCAGTGGTCAATGGAATTCCAAATTTGACAAATTGACCCGAAAAGTACCAACCGCATCTTTGATATCTGTCTCTGCCGTCTTTGCATTGTTGCGTTGGTTCATCAACTCCACCGTGTCAACACTCTCCGGTGTGGAGCTGAATGAAATAAGAAAATAAACAAAACAAAATAACTATCTACAGCTAGGCAAAAACCGGGATGAGTCAATTCGAAGAAGTCACTATTTGAATATTTGACAATTTGTGAATGTAAACTTATCTGTTGATAATTTTGAGCCATGCGAAAGTATTTGGAACACACCTTGAGGAAGACAGCAGGTGGGATGAAGACGAGGAGGTACTGGATTCCTGTGACGAACTCGGTGATGAATCCTGTGATGAGCCCTGCGACGACAAGATGATCTCCAGGCTCTCGTTCTGGGCCTCTGGCACCGCCTCCGTCGCCTTGTGCGCTTCCCCGTCTGGCCTCGCACTGACCGATGATGATGTGGGCGGTTTTGTCTTGGCCAACTGCTGGGACAAGGTGGACTTCTTAGAGGACACGAGGGTCACTTTCTTCTTGCCTTCATCTTTCCTGGCGAGTTTCGCCTGCATTGGTTTGGGGCAAACAACCAAAACAGAGTTAAAGCACAGCAGCTCATGAATCTGCCATGCACGTCACCACAACAGAGGAATAGAAAAACAGGCAATCCATTTCACTGTAAAGATCTTAGTGACTGAAACCATACTCCGTTACACTTTAATAAAACTATTGTGGGGAGTTGCCCGTATACTTATCATGTATAATCTACGNTCTGGCCCATCTCAGACCCCGAATGTTTTGCTTGATATTCCCGATGGCCCCCACTGATGGCAGAAAGCACTATGCTGTGTTTTGTATGAAATGGCATCAGGGCCAATGGCTCTGCACTAATAGTCATCGTAATGCTTACGGCCATTGTCAGGGGCCTCTACATAGGACCAATGATAGCGCCTATTATGGTAATTGATTATGAGTAAACCCAAGGGGTTGGTTTCAATGAACTGCTACGAAAAAAAACAATTGCCACGAAAAAGCAGCGTATCAGCCAAAATGTAATCCACCACACATTTCTTGCGACTGGATCTCAGTCCACTTCTGCTCAGCACATGAATTTCCAGAGCAATGTTTCACACTTAGCAGCTCAGTGAAATTGGGCCCCGTGCGGGATAAATCATGGCTCGGGCAAGACGCAGACCATGGCCCCCTCACCTCTCGCTCCTTGAGGTAGTTAAAGATGTCCTGCGCGTAGACCGGCGACTGGTTGGGATCATCCTTGTTCTCTTCATCGATGTCCTTGAAGTCTAGCGATTCTTCCAAACTGATCGCCGCAACCTAATCCAAAGGAACACACAATCACAACTCCAACAAGGACCGAAACGCACAGACTGTGCCTCGCAGGGAAACATTGTCACAAATCTGCTCACGCAAACTTGTGTAAGTATTATAAGCTGTTTGAAAAAAAGTTTTTTACAATCGAGGACTCCGACAGTCCTCTCATGTCTATGTGAACAAACAACAAATAAACTCAGCAATGCAGATTTGACAGCTAAAACATCTTTATACTCTTTTGTATCTAAGGGTACAAACGTCTGACTTCTTTACAATACGGTATGGCTCGCTTTCAACATCGCTGGAACGCCAGTGGTCAATGGAATTCCAAATTTGACAAATTGACCCGAAAAGTACCAACCGCATCTTTGATATCTGTCTCCGCCGTCTTTGCATCATTGCGTTGGTTCATCAACTCCACCGTGTCAACAGTCTCCGGTGTGGAGCTGAATAAAATAAGAAAATAAACAAAACAAAATAAATATCTACAGCTAGGCAAAAACCGGGATGAGTCAATTCGAAGAAGTCACTTTTTGAATATTTGACAATTTGTGAATGTAAACTTATCTGTTGATAATTTTGAGCCATGCGAAAGTATTTGGAACACACCTTGAGGAAGACAGCAGGTGGGATGAAGACGAGGAGGTACTGGATTCCTGTGACGAACTCGGCGACGAATCCTGTGATGAGCCCTGCGACGACAAGATGATCTCCAGGCTCTCGTTCTGGGCCTCTGGCACCGCCTCCGTCGCCTTGTGCGTTTCCCCATCCGGCCTCGCACTGACTGATGATGATGTGGGCGGTTTTGTCTTGGCCAACTGCTGGGACGAGGTGGACTTCTTGGAGGACACGAGGGTGATTTTCTTCTTGCCTTCATCCTTCCTGGCGAGTTTTGCCTGCATTGGTTTGGGGCAAACAACCAAAACAGAATTAAAGCACAGCAGCTCATGAATCTGCCATGCACGTCACCACAACAGAGGAATAGAAAAACAGGCAATCTATTTCACTGTAAAAATCTTAGTGACTGAAACCATACTCTGTTACGCTTTAATAAAACTATCGTTCAATTTTTTTTTTGGGGGGGGGGAAGCACACTCACGTTTGTGATGTCACCAAAGGCTGCCCTCTTTGTTGGCTGCTGTCCTTTGGGTGACCCGCTGGACCGTCTCTTGCTCTGCCGCTGAGCTGGCTTGGTGGGTCCATCCTGATGAATCTGACGGGGAATAAAAGGAAAATAAATGTGGATCAGTCGCGAGCCTCTCAGCATTTGTTGGCTGCCAAACCGTTCTGTCTGAGGTAAAGCCTGTCCGTATTTGGCTAGAAAGTGACCAAGGATGCAATTTTCTGACGTCAAATCAAATTGTTTGTGCTGCAAATTGTCAAAAATTTCAACACATTTAAAAATCAAAGCCGCAAACGTTTGGAGAAATTACATTTCCTTTGCTTTTGCATTCGCCTGAAATATGAAGTAGTTCTTAAAGGAAGCAAATTCTCTTCCATCTGTCACGACGTTGTACATGTACACGTACGGTGTATGTATGTATAAACATAACCACTCAGTATAGGATTTGTTGAAGCGTAAAATCTGTCCAGTTTGGGACAAGGCTGTGGGTTGTGGGGACCCTCCTGACCTGCTGGATGTTGCTGTTGGCCACCTTGGGCTTTCCTCTCATTGTAAGGGGCATCTTGGATTATGTCAACCACTGTAAATCCTTCACAGAAACTGCAGCAAAGAAGTGGCAAAAGAAATTTGTTTCAATGTTTAACGATTACAGATTAGAATGTTCCAATATGAACAGGCTACAGGTAAAACAGTTTAATTTAAAAAAAAAAGGGGGAAAAAAGACCACCAATTGCACATGTTCACTTAAGCTTCTTTCTGGGTGGTGTACAGAGTAAGGGGAATTTACGTTTAATTTGTAAAATGCTTACAAAAACATTTCCATACCGTTTAAACGTTTAGCCAACACATTACAGAGGCCGCCACCACCTACCTCAGTGTTTTCATACATGCATTATTACATAGTAAAAAAAATGTACATGGTCCAAGCTACAGAGTGCATGTGAAAATGTAGATTGATGTTGGGGCATTTAAAACAAACAACGTTAATTGTTTTAGAATCCACTTTTTCTGAAAAAGTACATGGATGCCAAAAGGGAAAAAAAACCAGTGTGTAACAGGCATCGTTCACAATAAAAATGAATGCCAGATTGCATCAATCAATATGTCAAAACTCTTCGGTTCCGTTTCACTGTTTGGGAACATAAAATCTGCAAATCTGCTGGTTCATGCGCCTATTTTCGCGCCAATACCTTTTACACACATAATTGTACACATGACCTATTTACTTCGGTATTCTATTGTTGTAAGGCTACAACACTAAGAGCTGTAGTTTCGCTGGTTCCAGCCGTTTTGAAGCAGCGTTCGAAACCAAATTTTGGTTCCAGCCGTTTTGAAGCAGCGTTCGAAACCAAATGTTCAAGCTGTGACTGGAACCAGTGAAACCAGAGTCTAAGCCGAATCCACTCGTTTTGAAAACGTTCCATGTCTTCAGGAGTTTGCCTGCAATGAGCGAATTGCTGGAACAAAAACCATACTCCATGTCGACAATCTGCACAGCTTCAGCACCATGTCCCCAAACATCCCTTACATAATCGGTGCCTCTGTTTCTCTTTTAATGCACATCAGCCAGAGGCAATTTAGTGGTTTTTCCACGGCCATGCAAAGCCGTACGAAAGCCATTCAAAATTTCGATTTTTTCATAGGTTTGTACACAAAGTTGGATGCGCCCATCACTTTGTACACGAGTCAGTGCTCCAGTTTTTATACATATTATTCTATGGACAAAGTGGATCATCGAAATGTCAATGGGGCAAAGTGGTCAGGGGGGCAAAGTGACCGGGGCTCGGACAACTCAACCATTTGCCCAACAACTTGGGACAGTTCGACCATTGAGACAATGCAACCGGCGGGACTAGACATCGACTGAGACAAGTTGGCTAGCCATGAGTGCACGTGAGGATAGTAACTTCACCATAACCTCTTCTCCAAATTGAAAAAGGAAAAAAATGGATTGGGGGACAGATTTGCCGTCTCTCACGCAGGCAGACTTGGGATTGATCATCAGTGCGGATGTGGGCAAGGACCTTGTGCACTGCTGATGGTGTGCAGTGCCACTGCCCCTACCAGATCACCCTCACCGCCTTGCACCCTGTTGATTGGGGTTGCCAACGAGTCATCCACCGGTCCTCAGCATGCTTCATCACTGGGATTACATGTAAATGTCATGCCCCGGCGAGTCGAATAACAATGTCACGCTACGTGTTTACGCCTTGCACAGTAAATCCTGTGTTAATGGACGACTTGGTAACTAGTCGAGGTGTCCCACCATGCCCACCGGTCAAGTTGTCTGAATGCGCAACGGTCGAGTTGTCAGTAGATGGTAATTATGGTGAACTGAATCTGCTTGCCCTGAAGAAGGTACTCAGTTACCGAAAACTCGGCAATCACATATTTCAGAACACTGATTTGATATTATATTCTTGTCGATATTCTGAACACGGTGCTATGCAGCCCTTCCATATTTCTCTGAGTAATTATGGTCGAGTTGTCCAACATCCAAGCATGGATTATGGAGAAGTGACCGACAACTTCGTCACTAGCCATGACTGCCTGCATTAATTGCCCTGTATTTTGTGTAGGATTAGAAATCGCAAAAAAAGGGGACCAAAGGATGCAGATCACAGTGCAATTTTCAAATTTTTTCAAATAGAAGGAAAACAACCAAGCCTTGTTGATTTACATGTACGTGGCCCGGTGAAAGTACTTGCACTTTACCGCCCCTACGAGGGCCTGCGCCTGAGATAAGGCCTGCGTAGGCTACTGCTTGTGGGCCTCGGCCTACATTATGTGTACGTCTATCTGCGCTACATACACTGACCCTTCATGGAGCAAGGGAGCAGAGTGAGCCTGGTTGGTAATGATATGTATCAAATCGAGGAAGGAAAATAACAAATCAAATGTCATACCCGTCGTTCCGTCTGCTGTATATCCCTTTACTTAAGATCAATTTTGTGTCCACAACTGGCCTCAAAAACTTGGAATAAGCCGGAGTAGTCTACCGAAAGTGCCTAGAGTTAGAAGAACGCTCTGATCTGGCTACGCGTTCTTTTGTTGTGTTCATGGATATTAGTCGGGATGTGCTACGCTTCTCTATGCATTTTTGAATTGGACGCCAGCCTTGTGCACGTTCGGGGCCAGTCAGCTGTTTGGACACGACGCCCTAATACTCGTCTTTGATTGGTCCCCTGGCAAGCTAGGTGACCAATCAAAGTACGCTAATTGAAAATTCTTTTAAATCATTTAGTTTTTCCACAAAATAATGGAGTTAAACAAAACACAATATTTTTCGAAACTGAAAATTATTTATAACGCGAAATATATCACTACAAAAGTTAATAACTGATAATGAAAAGTGTTCATGTTTTCCTCCGTGGCCTCCTTGACCGGCGCAGTGAACTTCGAGATCTATTTTTGTCACGCACCAGTAAACAAGCAAGATGGCCCGAGCCATGACAAATGTAACAAGCGGCTGACCGTGGCTTGAAAACTTTGACTTTCGCCGTCGCCCATCTAAATTTTTGTTTGGTGATGGTCAGGGTAATGTCTCTACTCAATATTCTCAGGCAAAAGTACATGTAAGTCGAGAATTTTGGTGGGCTCTGCTGCATGAAACCAGTCTCCCCCAGTCCTCAGCGTGAACAGAGTTCTGAAATTTTCGTGGTTTTTCATGATGCGTGAGTTGATCATGTTAATTGAAACATGGCCGACCTCCTCAGTCATACTTGACTTACATATGCAGCAAGGTATGAGACGGAGGGAACCCCCCT